GGAGCGGCTAGGCCCATGAGCCATGGCCGCTGAACCTGCGCGTCCGGAGCCTGTGCTCCATAATGGGAGAGGCCACAACAGTGAGAGGCCCGTGTACCTCAAAAAAAAAAAAAAAACCTGAGAAAACCATAATTAGAAAAAATACATGCGCCCCAATGTTCATTGCAGCACTATTTACAATAGCCAAAACATGGAAGCAACCTAAACGTCTGTCAACAGAGGAAAGGATAAAGAAGTTGTGGTACATATATTCAGTGGAATATTACTCAGCCATAAAAAAGAATGAAATAGTGCCATTTGCAGCAACATGGGTGGGCCAAGAGATTGTCATACTAAGTGAAGTAAGTCAGACAGAGAAAGACAAATATCATATGATATCACTCATATTTGGAATCTAATTTTAAAAAATGATACAAATGAACTTATTTACAAAACAGAAACAGTCTTACGGATATCGGAAAAAAACTTAATGGCTACCAAAGGGGAAACGTGGTGAGGGTGAGGGATAAATCAGGAGCTTGGGAATGACATATACACACTACTATATATGAGATAGATAACCAACAAGGACCTACTGTACAGCACAGGGAACTCTACTCAATATTCTGTGATAACCTATATAAGAATCTGAAAAAATGAATATATGTATATGTATAACTGAATCACTTTGCTGTACACCTGAACCTAACACAGTATTGTAAATCAACTCTACTCCAATAAAAAATTTTTTTTTGTTTTTGGCTACACCACGTGGCTTGTGGAATCTTATTCCCCAACCAGGGATCAAACCCAAGCCCTCAGCAGTGAGACCGTGGACCCCTAACCACTGGACTTCCAGGGCAGTCCCAACTATACTCCAATAAAATTTTTTTAAAAAATGAACCATTTCAGCAAGTCCTGAAATAAAGGAAAATTAATTTCATTTCGCAAAAAAAAAAAAAAATGTGGGAGCTTAATTTAGATCTGGGCATTAGGGCATAAGGGTTATGCATGTACGTCATGGGTTCAGATCCCAGCTTAGCCACTTAGTAACGGCTCGACCCGGGGCAGGTCAGTTAACCTCTCTGAGCTTCATTTTCCTCCTCTGTAAAAGGGGGATGTCAGGATTCATGGAGGATAGAGTGGGTTGCCATAGTTACTTAATTTTTCTTTTGAACCTTGTAGAGCGTAGAATTGTATCCCCTAAAAACATACATTTAAATCCTAACCCGCGTTAGCTGGGAACGGGACCTTGTTTGGAAAGAGGGTCTTTGCAGATGTAATTAGTTAAGATGAGGTCATACTGGAGTGGGGTGGCCCCAAACCCAGCGACTGGTGTCCTTGTAAGAAAAGGGACGTTTGGATACAGGCATACACACGCACACAGACACCATGTGAAGACACAGGCAGAGTTTAGGGTGACGCTTCTGCCAACCAAGGATGCCAAGGATTGTCAGCAACTCCAGAAGCTGGAAGAGGCGGGAAGGATCCTCGCCTGAGCCTTCAGAGGGAGCAGGGCCCTGCCTGCCAAAGCCTTGATTTTGGACTTCCCGTCTCCGTCTCCAGAATGTGAGAGAAGAAATTTCTGTTGTTTTAAGCCACCCAGTTTGTGGTTATTTGTGACAGCGGTGCCAGGAAAGGAACACAAACCTCTTTCCACCAGGTGGCAGAAAGCAAACCTCAATCAATTCTGAGTAATTTGATAAATTCACTTTTCCTGGGGCCAGGCTAAGTTCAAGGAGATTCACGTGGTGGCTGAGTGGGGCCAGCTGGGGGCATTGGGCCCTTGAGCAGCTCCCAGCCCGGCCAGTGTCTCTGGAGGGTCCCTGTCCTGCTGCTTCTTGGTCATTCATCTGTTGCCTGGACACGAGGGCTGTTTACCTACAGGCTTCTGCAGCTTCCCCCTCATTCCTGTCACTTGGCTATGGTCTGTGGCCCACGAGGCCCGCTGGGAGGTTCTGGGGATGGGGGAGAGAATTTGGGGGGTTGAAACCTGTCACTACCTCCCAGCTGTCACCTCCCTGAGGTCACTCCACAGGCCCCTCTCCACCCTGGGCTCTCTCTTGAGCCCTCTGCCTAGTCTACACCCAACCCAGGTGACCCTGTGGCCTCTGGGCATCCAGGTCTGAGGTCTCTGGGGGTGAGCCCAGGGAATTCCAAAGCTTTGGAAATGCAAACTGTTTTCCTCTCAAACTTTCATCCAGACCTTGGATTTCCAAAGTAAACCACAGCGACTTGAGAGCCAAGAAGGAAATCTTTGCTTCCTTCTCTCCTAGCTGCTGTGTCATCCATCCCCTTCCTGAGGGCTCAGGGAGGATGCTTCTCTGCCCGCCAGGCTGGAGCAAGCGGGGGACAGTTAAAGGAAGAAGCAGGGGTGAGCCCACACCAGCCAAAGGGCCAACTATCACCCCAGCCCCAGGTGCGGGGGGCTTTCCACGAGTGAGGATGAAATGGCTGCTATAAAACGGCTCCCATTTCTACAAGGACCTAGGAATTTCTCTTTTTTAAGAACCTCAGATCTATGAAACTAATACAACATTGTATATCAATTATACTCCAATATAAAATAAAAATTAAAAGAAAAAAAGAGACTCTCAGATCTGCACTGACCAGCAGAACTTTCTAAGATGATGGGAATGTTCTAGATCTGCAGTGCGGACAGTCAGGTGTGGATACTAAGCAATTGAAATTCATTTGGTCAGTGGCCCCCAGGAACTGAGGTTTAAATTTTATTTAATTGTAATTCATTTTAATTTAAATAACCACAGGTACCCAGTGGATACAGTAGAAGACAAGATAGCCTCGGATAAACTGGTATGTCCAGCTGACTGTCTACAAACAGGGAGAGGGGCAATTAGCAGTCTGGACCATAAATAAAATACACTTCCATTAAGGGCCAGTGGAGGGATTGTGGGTGAAAACCTTTATTTGTGGCTCGTACATGGCAGCCCTCACTTTGTCCTCCATAGACAAGCCACAAAACCCAATTTGTGTGTTTACATCATAACCTCTGGGGGCTACGCATCCAAAGATCTGAACCCTCAGTCACCCGTTTCCTGCCATCCTCCCCCCATGGCAAAGCACAGACTTGGGTGGGGGGAAAGAGAGAGTGCCTGGTTGTGTGGATCCCGAGCCAGCATACCCACCCAAGTGCCTGTGACCAGGTGCGAGCAAGTGGGAGAATCCCGTCAGCATTCAGTGAATTTTGAACACAGCAGGGTATAGGGCCATGGAGATTACGAGATTAGCTCCAACAGAAGCCAGATTTGGAGAAAAATAAGAAAGGGGGGGTGGAGGCCTCCCTGAGGTGCTAACCTCTGTACCAGAGCCGAAGGTGAGGGATCCAGCCAGTGGCAGTCAGGGGACAGGCTCTCCCTGGCCCAGGAAGGAACAGCCAGTGCCAATGTTCTGGGGTTGACCTCTCACCCCCAGACTCTGATCTGACCACTTGCCATCTCAAGCAGGCATTTCACACGAAAACAGGACTCCTGAATCCCTCCACATACACCCCACCACTTATCTCTGAGGTACCCTAAGCCTAGAGTAGGCACTACGCTTCCCTCCTTGGCCTTGAACCTGGAAAAATTGTACCAGCCTCAAGACTTTTGCAGTTCCAGCTTTTTGTTCTCAGATTTCTCAGAGTCTCGGTCCCCGGGCTTGAAGGGCAGCTGGGAAAATTCGCTGATAAGATGCACAGCCCCGGGCTTGGCTCCTAGGAAGCCTGGATAAAAGGGAGCCATTGAGTTTTCCCCAAGAAAGGGGACTGAAGCTTCGTTTGCATTGCACGTTATTTAATATTGAGGAAAAGGTTCTTAGTCCAGATCTAAGGATTGGAGTGAGAGTGCAGAAGACTCTCCCCATCCCCACCCCCAGCCCCGAGCCACTCCTGGGCAAGACGAAAAATTGACAGGGCTTCTCACCAAACAAGGCAAATACACACCGCCCAGTCCCTCCTCAAGTTGCACCCGCTGACTCCAAGCCCCTTGCCCTTCTAAATATCCTCATCCCTGCCTGGATCCCAACCTGCCTGCGACTCTGCACGCTGCCCTTCCCCGCAGCGGGACCGCAAGGGTTAAGCGGCGGCGCCCCGCGCGCTGATTGACAGCCCGGCCAGAGGCTGGGGAGAGCCGACCAATCACCGACGGCGACCGTGGCCCACGTGGGCAAGCGGCCTCGCGATTGGTCGGCACTACCAGCGGCCGCCCGCGGAGCCCGAGCCCACGTGCAGCTGCTGCTAGTTCACGGACCAGCTTCGCGTTGCAGGTGGCGGCGGGGCGGGGCCGGGGCGGGGCGGGGCGGGGCCCGATGGGTCAATTGGCCCCCGGGGATGGGGGGACGTGCTTCCTGTCAGCCTGAACTTGGCTGATCCCGCGGCTTCCTCCTCGTTCCTCCTGGGCCACCATCCTAAGGGAGGCGGGTAGGCCTGCCAGTCTCCCGGAGGGCCCCATGGTCCCTGGGCTGGGGAGGAGCCTAGAGGGGAGCTGAGGGGCAGAAGCGAAGTAAAGAAGGGGCTTGGTGCCGCAGGAATGATAGGGGGTAGAGAGACGTCTCTTTCCTCCTGTCTGAGAAATTTCTCCGAATTCACCTGGCCAACTCTTACTCATCCTTCAAAACCCCTTTCCAAATGATGTTCTCCCGTGCTTTAGGAAATTGTCTCAAAACTAAGGTTGAGCTTTGATATCTTTCTCTGGGGTACCTCCAGCCCTGACTGCTCCTGTCAGGGAGTATGTTTGGCACCGTACGGCGCCCCCACCTCAAAGGGTGAGGCCCCAGGGGGTCCCCACCACTAATCAGCACAGCTGGAAGCACCAGAGTGATGAATGAAAGAACAGAGGATGTAGGGAATGCAGTGGGGTGCTGGCAGTCAGGGAGGGGTTTGGGGGCCCGGGACTGAGTCCTGGAGGAGAGAAGACCAAGGTGGGTGGTGCTGGAGGCCGAGGGTGGGGTGGGGCTAGTTCTGTCCTCTGCTACTGCCCAGCCTTCTGCGTTCAGGATCTGACATCCCCTCTTTACTTTTACAGTCCCTGGCTAAAGTCCTTGTGACTCCAGCCTGAAGACTGACTTCTTGGGGCCATCTCAGCCCCCACGGGCACCCTCAAAGGATGGTGAGGCATTATCCCCTGGGGGAGGGGGCAAGAGGCTCAAATCTTGTTCTCCTGCTCCTGAGGGACGGACGTGGGCCGGCTGGCCAGGCCTTCAGCTGGGGACAGTAACCCATCATACTTTAAGGCCTTTCTCTTTAAACTTATTATTACCCAGGTGATAAAACATAGGGCTACATCACCTACTCAGTTACTATTTTATAAGCAAAAGTCCCTCTCTGCGCCTCCCCACCCGCCATTACTTCCCAGGGAAAACCATTTCTATCAGTTTAGGCCAGGGGCAGGCAAGCTTCTGTAAAGGGCCAGAGAGTAAATATTTTCATCTTTAGGCCAAAAATCAAGATGGAAGATACCCTGTGGGTACTTAAGTAATAAGAGAGAAAGCAAACTACCCTCAGGCCTCAGGAGGCCCCACCTCACCCTCTTTGGGGCTGATGACCTGACGGCAGGGATACGGGGAGGCTGTGGGTTTTCTTCATCCCTCCTTCGACCTCTCCAGGCTCATCCTGAGGCCGGCTACTATCAGAACGCCCTGGATCAGCTCAAGCAGCACTTCCCCAGGTGAGGGCGATTCTCGGGGGCTGGAGGCCCCGCTGGGGCCCTAAGTCCCACCGAGGGAAAGAATCCCATCCTTGTCTCCATGGCCCAAAAGACAGGACCAGTGCTGGTGGGGGGCGGGGAGGGGGGAGGAGCCATACTGAAGGCTGAAGCAAAAGGAAAGGAAAGCCAGTAATACCGATCCTGGCTTTCATTTAAATTTTTGATTTTGTTGTTGTTCAGTGTGAATTTGCTTACATTCAATTACGTTTTTTTAAAATACCGCATTAAAATCATATTCGTCTTGGCGCCTTCTTCAATGTGGCACCTGGAAGGGACTAGCTCACTTGCCAGAACTGCCCTGATGGGAGGCTGGGGGCAGGGCTCATTCTGGGGAAGGGTCTTGAGGCCTCCTCCTGCAGCGGGTTTGTCTTCCCTGGCAGGTTCCCCACTCACTTGACGACACAGATGGACAGCGCTTACTACTTGGTGAGCCCCGGCCCGGGAAGCCCCGCCCTCTTCAGGAAGCCCCGCCCCTACTCTCCCCACCACCACCACCACCAGGTAGCCCCTCAGGAGCCTCCTGGAAAGGCTGTTGAGTTTGGCCTCAGGATCCGGGTTTGGGGGCACCCTCTCCTCTACTTACTTTGCTTATTTTAGGCAAGTGAGTTAACCCAGTGAGCAACAACTTCATGTGAGTTTTTCTTAATTAATAAAAACCTTGCTGTGAAAACAAGTAATTCTGTATTTAAATTAAGGAGAAGTTTCTTCAGCCCACGGTTGATGAGTTAGGGGTACAGCACGTGATGGGAGTCCCTGCCCTTCAGGAATGTATATTCTAGTGTGTGCTGTCTTCTGGAACTTTCCACAAAGATAAGAATGTTCTCTATCAACAGGGTCCAATATGGCACCCGCCAGCCACATGTGGCTACTGAGCTCCTGTAAGGAGCTGAATTTTAATTGACTGAAAGTTAAAGAGCCACGTTTGACTAATGGCTACCCCATAGGACCCGGCAGCTCTAAGGGAAGGAGAGGGACAAATAAGCAAATAGAGAAACAAGATTCACAAAATGTAACTGCTTAAAAGAAAATAGAAGGTGAAGTGGTGAAAGTGAGTCAAGATTTTGAGCTAAGGTAGTCAGGAAGGGCTTCTTGAACGTGAGACACAGTGACACCATGTCTCACTGTGTCTCACGTTCACAGTGAGACATGGAAGATAAGGAGTTCCTGCCACCCTAGAGAGAACAGGGAAGGCTGTTTCAGGCAGAGGGCACAGCCCGTGCAAAGGTCCTGGGGCAGGACCGGGCCTGATGTGTTGGAGGAACAGCCAGGAGGCCTGTGTGTCTGGAGCAGAGTGAGCGAGGGGGAGAGAGGGAGGAGGGGAGGGCAGGGAAAGAGCAAGGGCAGGTTGTGCCCCTCTTTGACCTCCACTTCATACCTAGAATGAAAACCAGGGGTCTCCCTAATACTTCCTACTCTGAGTATGGTAGGCAGTATCCCATTTGATGAGAGCAGGGACCAGAGAGGTAGCATGACTTGCCCAGGGTCATACAGCTGGGGAGAAACATGCACAGCATTCAGTTCTGCACTCTTGCCCACTTCCATTGACCACCTCCCAGTGTGACCGCTGTTGTTCCTTTGCAGTTCCAGGAGATCCGGCAGGGGCTCCAGGAACATCACAAGCAGGTGAATGGACCTTGTGGGCCGTGGAGGTGGACTTGAGCTTTTCCCCCTGAGGGAGGTGGGAGTCCTGGAGTGCTGGGGGCAGAGGGGGTGGGGCCTGAAGTGGAATCCCCAGGGTATCAGTGGATCCCCCACGTCTCAGGAGTGCATCTCTGGTCCTGAGCCTCTTCCCTCCTGTCCTGCTCGCTGGTCCCCGTGTGCCTGGAGGAGGCCAGGGGCCTGTCAGCACATCGCAGGTTAGTTGCCTGTGCTAGGAAGGGGCTTTTATGTGCCAGGCATGGCCGGATGCGGTCTCCATGTGTCTGAGGTTCCCAAGGGCCTGGCTCACACTCGGGGGTGGGGGGAGGGACAGGCCTGCACCGGGGGCCCAGCTCCCAGCACGGGGAGCCTTGCCCAGGCTGAGCATGGCGTCCACCCCGCCTGTCCTCCTGCCACCTGGCCCCTTTCTCCTGGGTGCTGGCAGGACTTTCTGCCTGTGCCAGATGTGACTGGCAGAGGGCCAGGGCTGTGTCTGCGACTTAGTGGGGCCTGGGGTGGGTAGCTCAGGGAACAGGGAAAGACAGATCCAGAGGCGGGGGTGGGGTGGGGCAGGAAGCAACCAGAACACGGTTATTCATTCAACAGATATTTATCCATCACCTCCTTGCCAAGTGCAGTTGTAGGCGCCAGGGAAATAGCAAAGGAGAACACAGACAAACCGCTGCCCTTGGGGTGAGAGGAGCTTGGTAAACAGAAGTGTCAGATGGTGAGGGCTGGGCAAGGCGGGGGTGGAATTGAGCAGCCCCAAGGCGACGTGGGGGGAACCAAGGTGGGAATGGGTTACAATTCAGGGTGGTCAGGGAAGGCTCGCTGAGAAGGTGACATTTGGGCAAAAAAATCTCTCTTGAAGGAGATCAGAGAGGGAGTGTAGATGTCTGGAAGGAGTAGACCAGGCAGAGGGCACAGCCTGTGCAAAGGCCCTGGGGCAGGACCAGGCCTGGTTCATTGGAGGAACAGCAAGGAGGCCCGTGTGTCTGGAGCAGAGTGAGCGAGGGGGAGAGAGGGAGGAGGGGAGGGCGGGGAGGGGTCGCGGCAGGTTGTGCAGGGCCTTGTGGGCCACAGGGAGGACTCTGGCTTTTACCCCCCGGAGGTGGGACCCTGGAGGGCTGTGGGCAGAGGAGGGGCGGGTCCTGACTCAGGTGCTCACTCGCGCCCTCTGGTGGCTGCTTTGGGGAGGATGGATATTTGGGGGCCAGGATGGGAGTTGGGGTCCAGTTGGACCATCCAGGTGCGGGAGGCTGGTCACCGAGCCAGTTTGGCGGTGAGAAGCAGTCAGAGTGTGGATGTGTCAGGAAACTGACAGCATGTGCTGAGTATCAAGACATAAGGGGAGGAATTCCTTGGTGGTGCAGTGGTTAGGACTCCGTACTTCCACTGCAGGGGACACAGGTTCGATGATCCCTGGTCGGGGCAGTTCTGCATGCCATGGGGTGCTGCCAAAAAAAATAAATAAGATGTAAGGGGGTGAGGAGGACCCAGGAGGGTCGCCCCTAAGCACCCTCCTCCCCCAACAGAAGGCCCCAGGTGGTGATCCCTAGCTGACTTGTGGTTTCACAGGGACCGCCTCCCCCTCCCCTGTTTCCTGTTCCTCGTCTCCCAGCCTCCTTGCTGTGTATTTAAAATCCTGAGCAGCAGCAGCGGCAACGCCCCCGGCTCCTCCGCAGCCCGCCTGCACACAGCTCTCCCCAGGGAGGACCTGCATGCAGGCAGGGGGCAGCAGCACTTTTCATGCTGAGTGCATTAAAGTGCCAGTAAATTGCGTATTAACGAGCCAGGGAGGATTGGGGAAGGCTCCCCTGGGCCTCGTGCTGCTGGGAGGCCCAGCTGGGGAATCCATCGCCTGCTACCCTAGGAGGCAGCCACCTGGAGCGCCCAGAGCTCAGGGAGGGGGTCCTCCATTCCAGCCTCTCCCTCCACCATCCTGCTCGCCCCCAACCCCAACCAGCGAGGGGCAGGGGGTGGGACCAGGCTGCCAGTGGAGGCAGGGAAACGCTGCTGGGCCCCAGGTGTCCTGACTTTAGGAAATTGACTTTGATGCTCTGAGCCTCAGTTTTCTCATCTGCAGAACGGAAACGCCAGTGGTGCCCGTTCAACAGAACTGACAGCCACAGGCCTTATGCCACGTTCCTTAGCACTTATTTCTTTCTGTGAATCACAATATTTCCCCAGGATTTTGGAATTCGCTCTGGGCCAGACAGCTTCCTGGCATCCACCGTGGAGGTGCATGTGCATTCGGAAGGCCCACGGCACTGCCTCCAAAGCCAAAGGCCCAAGACTAAATCCGTGTCACCCTCTGCAGTAGCCACGGGACACACGTGGCTATTTACACTTTAATTGGCAATCAGGTGGCACCGTCCACGTTTCAAGTATTCAACCTTAGCTGGCAGGTCTAGAACATTCCTCATATCACTGTATTTAGTCCATCTGGACTAAATATAGCTGCACATTCCCGTAGAGCCCCTTATCGGGCCGAGAAGGTGGGTCTCCTCGCAGCGAATTCCTGGCAGTACTGGCAGGTCGTGTCTTGCGTGGTCTGTGTCCTCAGCTGGCTGCCAGGCACACTCTAGGTTCGTGCCTCGCCGTCTCCTCTGGCAGCCCCCAGCCCCACATTGGCTATTGAGCCCTTGAAATGTGGCCCGTGGGACAGGAGGGATCGCATTTTTAATTAAACTTAACTTTCTATTTAAATAGTGACCTGCAGCCAGTAGCCGCTGTGCAGGGAGGTTCAGTCTTGAGGAAGGAGAGGTTAAACACAAATCTGGTACCCGGGCCAGATACATGATCTTGAGAAAAGCAGTGGGACGTGTCATAGGAGGGAGCCTGTCCTAAAGGAACAGATGGGCAGCCTGCTGGGAGGGAGAAAAAGAAAATTTAGGGTGCCTTCCATGACCACAGAAACTGTTCACTTAAATCTGGAATCGGTAGCAGCCACGTGGCTTGATTTTAAATATAAAATAAGTGACCCTCCCACCAGGGCCCCTAACATCCCCATCGCCAGCCCTGCTCCCCAAGAGGTAACCATTGGTTTCTTAGGATCTTTGCAATGTTTCAGCAGCTTCAAATGTCATCCCCGTAAGGGGGACATGTGTACACACGGCCTTGCTTCTTGAAGCCATTTTAAGCAAGGGGGTGGCATTCAGGCTTTTGTTTCCAAATACCCCAAGTAAAGCAGCTGGGATGCGAACCCAGATCTGACTTGACTTGCGACCATATTATACTGGTGACGGGTCATTAGGGCTCAATTTTGTCACCTGCCGCCAAGGGTGGCCTCTGGGTACCGAGAGCTTGCTTTTTGCTAGGTGATCATGAATCCACCCAAAAACGTTCAAGGGAGGTGGTGTAACCTCACTTTGTGAACAGGGAAACTGGCTTGTAAGAAGGTATTCGCACCCAGGGCTGTCCTCTAATGAAGCTTTAGCCGGGATGACGTTCCCCTTCCAGGCAGAAAACTTCCTACAGATAGTGGAGACCTGCAGCCAATCCCTGGGCTTCCAGCTGGGGGAGGTAGGTTCCTGGGTCCTTGAGTAGGGTGGGGATAGGCTTGGGGCAAAGGGTGCATCCTCGTGTCCCTCACGACCCTGTGCTTACAGCACCAGGGAAACCAAGAGTTCCCCAGTGAGCAGCCCAACCGGGACCCCCAGTGCCCAGAGGCCAAGACCCCACAGCCCTCCGGTCTCCAGGGGCCAGACTTCGAAGACATCATGGCCACAAGGTCATCCGACTGGCTCCAGCAGACCCCCGGAGTGGACACAGTCCACCAGCTAGACACGTGGCCATCCTGGGACTCGGAGCCCCGGTTTTGGCAGGATGTTCTGACAGAGCAGCTCTGGCAGATTTTTACTGGGACCCAGGAGCGCCCAAGACGCAGGAGTGAGTCTCCCTGAGGGTGAGGGGAAGTGGGGAATCAGGCCACCTGGAGGGACAACACCGGTTGAACTGGCTTCTCCCCCTCATCCCCTTTTGTTGTCATAGCGACAGAGCAGGCGCCACGCCAAGTAAGTAACTGGAATCCTCGGTACCTGGAAGGGTGGGCTTTGCCCTGGCTGGGCCCCCTGGCTTTGACCTCTAGATGCCTGTGGGATTGGCATGCCTCCCCCACCCTCAGCCCTTGGATACCCTCAGAGGACCTGAGCCTGTCTGCAGCTCTGCCTGGATGGGAGGATGGGACTTCAGGCAGTTGGAGCATCCTGTCCACACTGCCTGGGCCCGCCTGCCATGTTCCAGTTCTCAGACCAACCCTGGTCAGGTCCTTTGGTCTGAACTGATCTCCCCAATTCCCACGGGCAGGAAAGCCAGGAGCCAGCACCACGATACTTGGGAGTGAAACTGCTCCCCAAGGACACTTTGGGTAATCCTGGTGGGAGGAGGGCAGTCCGCCCTGGGGGAGGGGAGCCACACCTGCCACTGATCCACTCTTGTCTCTGCCCAGTTCTCAGCCCAGCTACGCCCTCCCCCAGCTCCTCTGAGGGCTCCCGAAAGGGAAGCACAGGACTGGGCACTGTAGGAGAGGGGGTGTTCTCCCACATGGCCCAGGTGAGATCCCCGCACCCCACACAAAGGCTGGGGGGGCTGGGGTGGGAGGAGAATGTGGCTCAGCTGTGACCTCATCCACCCGCAGGAGCTTCCTGTAAAAGCCTATCAATTTCTGAAGCCCATGTAAGTATGTCCCAACCTTGTGGTCTGAGGCTAAGGGAGCCCAGATGTGGGGGTGAGAAGGCTTCCTGGAGGAAGGGACATAAGGGTTAGGACCTTGAAGGATGCGTAGGAGTTTGCTGGGATAGGGCAAAACATGTCAGGCAGAAGGGAGCAGTGTTTGGTCATGGGAGAAGGAGAATACTTGGAGGGGTGTGGGTAGAACCTGGGGGGATATAGAGTGCCGTGGAGAAATGAAGCCTGAGAGAACCCAAAATCTGACAAAGAACGAAGCCCCTCTGGGGCTTGATAGGTGCCCTGCTCCAGGCAGAGAGGCTCACAGGCGGGCTGGTGACCCTGAGGCCTCCTCTCCCAAGATGCTGGGACCCTGAGGACTTTGAAAACACGTGGAATAGGCCTGATGCTTTGCCCTGGCAGTCCAAGAAGCTGGCCGTGCCACACAGAGTGGAGAAGATACGGAGGCTAGAACATGGGGAGCCTGTGCTGGCCACGGCCGTCAGCAGCTTCACGCGGCACGCCTTCACCTGTGGCAGGGGCGGCGTCAAGGTGTGGAGCCTGGTCGGCCAGGTGGTGGAGGCCAGGTTTCCGGAGAGCTACCTGCGTGTACAGGTGAGGGTAGGGCTGGCTCTGGGGCAGAGCTTGTGGGAGCAGGGAGAGCCCCCCCACCCTGCAGGAGAGGAAGCTCACCCCAGGCTCTGCCCACCCCAGACCCAGGGGGCCTACCTGCGCACCTGCTTGCTGTTCTCAAACAGCACGGCCCTGCTGACGGGCGGCCACAACCTGACCAGCGTGAGCCTGTGGGACCTGACGGCACCTTCCCTGTACGTGAGAGCAGAGCTGCCCTGTGCAGGCCTCACCTGCCAGGCCCTGGCCGCCAGCCCTGAGGACAACCTGGCCTTTGCCGGTTTCACCGATGGCAGCGTCAGGATCTGGGACCTGCGGAACCAGAGTGTGGTCAGGTGTGGCCCAGGGGTGGGCGGGGCCACCCTGAGGGCCGCTTCCCACCTGGATCCCTGAGTAGGGACCCAGCAGTCTCAAGGCCAAAGCCCCTTTCCCTAAAGAACTCTTGCATTTGAGAGTTGAAGACCCAGGTTCAAACCGTGGCTGGGTCCTTGAAGCCCAGTTGTGGTACTTCTTGCCTGCCTCAGTTTCCCCATCTGTCACCTGGGTGTGATTGGAGGGGGGGTGTCCTCGGGGGCCCAAAGCTTAGAGTTTCAGCCCTGACCTCCCTTCCAATGCCTCTCCTGGCCAGGGACCTGCCGGGTCACCTGAACGGTGCCAAGAGCATCGCTGTCAAAGACCAGCACATCTGGACAGGGGGTCTGGACGCCTGCCTGCGGTGCTGGGACCTGAGGACCACTGGGGAGCCCCAGGAATACCAGTTTGAGTCTCAGGTGTGCAGCTGGGATGGGGCCTGCTTGGCCAGGTAGCAGCTGGGCTGTGGACTGAAGGAGGTGGAGGCTGGCGGGAAGGGCAGGGGTTAGTGGTACCTCAAGTCTCAGTGATGCCCTGAAGAGAGGGGTCCTTAGCTACATCCTCCCCAGTTGCCCAGATAACATTGGATGCTTTCATACTCTGTATCAGGGGTTCCTATTCTCATTCTCTGTGATAATCCCACAAAGTAGAGAGGACCACACCCATTTTGCAGATGAGCCAGCCAAGGCCGGATATGTGAAGTTGCTTTCTGGGGGTTTCACAACCAGGAAGCGGGCAGGCAGTCGGCCCCCGGGATGGGTCCCTGTGCTCCTGCCACCTCTCGGGCCCCGCTGGGACCTGGACAATGTTTCCCTGCTGCCTTCTCCCCAGATAATGAGCCTGTCCCCCAGCCCCTGGGAGGACTGGGTGCTGGTGGGCACAGCCAATGGCCAGCAGTGGCTGCAGCCCAGCCTTGGGGGCCAGAAGCACATGGTGGGGTGTAAGGACGGCACCATCCTCGGTCTCAAGTTCTCCCCGCTGGGTGAGTGGCCAGGATCGCGGCGGGGAGTCTGCCGTCGTCCCCAGCCTCCCACGGGGCCCTGCCTCACTAAGACTGACTCCACCCAGCCCTTTCTGACCCTTCCTGACCCCCCCAAGCCCTTCATCAGCAGGAACCGCCCTGAGTGATGCTCTCCGCAGGGGTGTGAGGGAGATGGGGAGCTCCCTGTTTCCCAGATCCCCAGGGGTCCAGCCCTCAGCTGCCAGCTTTCCCTATGACCGGGCCCCCCTCTGCCTTCTCCCAGGCCAGTGGTGGGTGAGCGTGGGGACGGACAACCTGGTCAGCGTCTTCAGCATGCCCATGGGGACCACAGTGGTCCAGGTACGGGGGTGGGGCAGGTGGGCGGCGTTCATTGGGCTGAGCCCGGGGTTCCAAATGCGGAGACCCCCCCCCGACCCAGGGACCACGTTTGAATCTATGGGCAGATGTTAAGGGCAAGGATGGGTGAACCCTGTCGCTCTGCTCCCCGACTCTTCCAGGTACCCGAGACATCCTCCATCATGTGCTGCGACGTGTCCCCCAGCAACCACCTGATCGTCACGGGGTCCAGGGACCACGCCTCCGTGTACCAGATCACATACTGAGGGCTCGCCAGGGTGGGTGGGGTGAGCACAACTGGACCTATGATCTTTGTCACGTGTAATAAAGCATTTGGAAATAGCACGGATGCAGTGCTGCATCCTGTCCCCTGGTCCTCTTGTGGAGATTGGGAAGGACTTTTCCAGCCTGGGTCTCTGAGCCTTTTGAGTCCACATTCCCTGAGAATCGGATCAGAGCCACTGACCCTTGCCGTCGGGGGAACTGGACGTAGAGCCCTTCTTTTTTTTTTTCTTCTTTGTTTTTGGCCACGCCACGCAGCATGTGGGATCTTAGTTCCCCAACCTGGGATGGAACCCGGGCCACGGCAGTGAAAGCATGAAGTCCTAACCACTGGACCGCCAGGGAGTTGCCTGGAGCCCTTCTTTCTGCTCCACTGAGCTCATCTGATGTCATGGAGAGATGTTTCCCAGCCCTGCCTGCACAGTCCCAGGGATGGGGTCCTCGGTCCTTCCCAAGTTACCTGTGTCCCGTTAGATCAGTGCTTCTCACCTGGCGGTGAGTCTAACCCCCAGGGGACACAGGGCCATGTCTGGGGACACATGTGGTTTGTCACGACTGGGAGGGCTCCTGGCCTTGAGCGGTTGGGGGCCAGGGATACTGCTTAACACCCCACAGTGCCTGGGACGGCCCCACAACCAAGAATTACGCAGCCAGTGTCAGCTGTGCCGCGGGGAAGACTAGTTTACAGGGGTGGCTCTTGCTGGCCAGCACTTTTCCACCCTCTTAGTAGGGCTCTGAAATCACCATTTGCTCACCCCATCCTTCTGGGATAAGCAGCGTCCCAGGTGGCGTCAACGGGTCTGGCCTCCCTAACTGGAGAATTATCCTATCTCCGTCCCATGCCTTCAGAAACCCCCTGGGCACGACTGTTTCCAGCAGCGACCCTGCCACCTCCCTCCAGAAGTTTCCCAGCAGCAGCCCTACTTTGCCCCCCAGCCCCCCCAACCCATGGTCCTCGTGGCAGCCCCTGGGAACTTCCAGAACCCAGCTCTGATGGCTTTACCACCCCCACCGGCCTCTCCCGAAATCTGGCTCACATTTCCATGGGCTTTCTCTGCTTAAGCCTGATCTGAAGCTGAGGAGGAAACCCCACGCCCCTGCTCTCCTGACTTCCACAACGGCCAAGCTCTTTACCTCTGAGCCTTCGCACATGCTGTTCCCTCTGTTCCCAGCACATCCTTCCGTCACTCTTCCAAATGGCTGTTTCTCCTCCTTTAGCTCTTCTCTTTGCTGTCACCTCCTCTGGGACTGTGACCTCCGCTCAGCACCTGACCGTGGGCTGGGCACCGTGTGCCAGGCTCTTAGGAATTATCACGGAGTCTCAAAGGAAACATGACTGCACCCCAAATACCTTCGTGCTCTACCATATTCCCTAACGCTCTGTACGTGGGCAGGGTCTTGGGGTGAGTCTGTCCCACAGGCTGGCAGTAGAGCACATAGGTGAAGCTTTGGGGCCAAGGATGTAGAAGCAGCCCCCCTGCTACGTTGGCCTCAAAAGCTACACACTGAGGTGGCAAAGCCTCCACCTGGAGCCCTGAGTGTCTGCTTGGAGTCGAGCCCCACCCGCCACATGGGCATGGGTGAGAAATAAACATCTATCATTTCAACCAACTGAGATCTGGGGGCTGTTTGTTACGTGGCACAATGGAAGCCACACGGCCCAAGACAACCCCCATTTCCTGTGGTCGACCCCTCAGCATTTCATGCGGAATGAATTCTTTCAATGTCCAGGTGAGGAAAAAGAGGCTGACACAGCTAGCAAGTGGCCTTCCCTCCGGAACCGTGCCCAGAAAGAGCAAAGGTTCCCGGCTCCTCAGCCCAAGACAGAAAGGCGGTTGTGATAAATACATTTATTTCCCCAAAGTCCCCCTGCACATCTGGTCCCACATCCAGCAGGGGAGGACGTAAGGGGGTCAGCCAGAGAGCAGATGAGATTTAGTGCTCAGAGTAGGACTGGAGAGGCGGTCCTGGATGCCTCTCCCTCGGGAGTTGGGCCAGGGGTGCAGGAAGAGTGGTGTCTCAGTAGACCACCTCATACACGGTGGCCTTCTTGTCCCCAGAGCCTGTCACGATGTATTTGTTATTCCCGGAGATGTCACAGCTCAGCACGGAGGATGACTCCTTGGACTGTCGACAGGGAGGGGAAGGGGGAGAGAGAAGGGAGAGTGAGGCACGGCCAAGGCCAGCACGGTCTGGTTCGTGCTCCCGACCACCAGCAAGTTCAGAGCAAAGAGGCAAGGAGACTGCCCACAAGGGTGAATCTGTGGTCCAGGCTGGGCCCAAGATAGGACTCAGGGGAGCCCAGTGTGGGGAGCCTAGCAGGGGGGAGGGAAGGAGAGTGACACATTTTCCAGAGAAAGGTCCTTTGGAGCTGAGCCTCTGGACAGGTCACAATGCTCCTGGGAAGAGCGAGACCTCGGTTCTCTGGAACAGGAGAACTGCCCTTTCCTGGGAAGCTCAGAGAGGGTGTGCACCAAGCATGAGGCCACACAGCACAGCAGAGGGCTGAGCTCACAGCAGGATGACCTACACCAGCGCTCTGCAAACTTTTTCTGTAAAGGGGCCAATAGTAAATTTTTAGGCTTTGACCTGAAAGCTCATTTAAGTCCAAATGCGCTCTGGCCATACGTCCAGAGATCAAATCAGTCTGTGTTACATCATCTCCTTTTTCTTTGACAACCCTTTAAAAAATGTAAAAACCACTCCACATCCAGCAGAATGGCTATAAGAAAGACAACAGAACAAGTGTTGTTGAGGAGGGGGAGAAATCAGAACTCTCACACTCTGCTAGTGGGAACAGAAAATTTGGAAAACGGTCTGGCAGTTTCTCCAAAGATTAAACAATTATCAGCAATTCCACTCCAAGATATCTGCCCAGGAGAAATGAAAACATGCATGCACACGAGAACTTGTACATGGATATTCACAGCAGCCAAAAAGTGGAAACAACCCTAGTGTCCATCGACGGGTGATGGATAAACACAATGTGGTCCATCCATACAGTGGAATATTAGCCTTAAAAGGGAAGGAGATTCTGACACCTGCTACAACGTTCATGGACCTTGGGAACATGATGCTCAGTGAGAGAAGCCAGACACAGAAGGATAAATCTTGTGTGATCCCACTCATATGAGTCATCAAATCCATAGAGACAGGAAGTAGACGGTGGGGGCCAGGGGCTGGGGGAGGGGACGGAGAGTCAGTGTTTCATGGGGACGGAGTTTCAGTTTGGGCAGATGAGAAAGTTCTGGGGATGGATGGTGGGGATGGCTGCGCGACAGTGTGAATGTGCTTAATGCCACTGAGCTGTGCGCTTACAAATGGTTAAAATGGCAACTTTTATATACATTTTATCACAATTAAAAACAAAAACAGGCTGTGCACAGATGTGGCCCTCGGGCTGACCGCTCTGCTTTAGTAGCTCGTGGCTGGTGGGGACACTTCCCCGTTCAATCCCCACGGGGTCCCCGGGCACCTGGTGTCCTGCGGGGCTGGGGACCTCAGACACGAAGTACCTGGAAGATGCTGGCTCCGTACGGCGTCCTCCAGGCATTGAGCAGGTTGTCTTTGCCGGTGCTCACGAACCACCGCCCTGGGGGAAGCAGGGCAGGGAGTTCAGGAGGGGGGCAGACTGGAGGAAGCCAGGGCTGGGGGCTGCGGGCAGAGTCGGGGCAGCCTGGTCTGGCCTCTCTTCTCGCTCCCTTTCTCACACCTCTGCCCGTCTCTGGGGGACAGGAGGCCCCTTAGCTGATGCTCGAGCTTCCCCGCCACATTCCAGATACTGAAGCCAAGGCCTCAAAGGGCTCCAACTGGCCTTCAAGAAGGGGGAGCCCCAGGAGAACGTTGCCAGATAAAAACAGGGTGCCCAGTTACATCTGAATCCGAGATCAACCACACATCATTTTTAGTACCGGTGGGTCCCGGTACTAAATATAGTACATTATCTGTTTGTTCGGGGTTTTTTTAAGTATATGTAAGTTCCACAAAATACTTGGGACATATCTATACTAAAAAAAAAAAAAAAAATTTAGTGTAAGTATATCCCATGCAACATTTGAGACATATCTGCACTAACACATTAGTTGCTTTTTAGTATAAGTATGTCCCACGTATTTGAGGGACATACTTATGCTAATAAATTATGTGTTGTTTAGTGTAAGTATGTCCCACAAAATACTTGGGATCTACTTACTTATGCTAACTAATTCTTTGTCCTTTAGAGTATGTCCCATGCAATACTTAGAATGGGACAAGTAAGGAATGACTGCTGTTTACCTAAGATTCAAATTAAACCAGGGATCCTCTTTTTCTGTCATGGGTTTTTTTTGTTGTGGTTGTGTTTTGGCAACCCTGCCCCAGCACCCCGGAGTCCCCACCCCAGACCGGCAGACACACACCACAGGAGGCAAATTTGAGGGAGAGCACACAGCTCTCGTGAAGATGCAGCTGGTATTTCTCAGGCTTTCGGACGTGCAGGATCTCCACGTTGCTGCTCTCCATGCCAACCGCCAGCCAGTCCTGGTTGGGGCAGTGGCCCAGGGAAAAAATCTGGGGGTGAAGAGGGAAGACAGGAGATGAAAAACCCCTTGGGATGTGGGGGGGATGCCCAGAGCTAGGGGGCCAGGGCGGGGAGGGGAGATGTCCAACACTCTCCCGCTGCAGCTCCCGCGTGGAGAAGCAGCTGGCCCTGGGCCTGGAGCACAGCAGGCAACTGCGTGTTGAATCATTAATATTAATCAGAATTACACGGAACCCTGGGGCCTCATATCCATTATCTGCTCTGAACGCACAACAGCTCTGGGAGGGAGGGAGGGAGGGAGGGGGCGAAGCCAGCAAGGACAGTAGCTCCCCTTTAGCAGATGGTGGAAGGGAAGCTGAGGCCACATCCAGCTCAAGGTCATATAGCAAGTCCATCAAAGACCAGGCCTTCTGACTCCCAACTTGGAACTTTCCCCACTTGACAACACCAATTTTTACTTTGATTTGAAAGTACGTGGTGGCTACATAAGTCTGTGCCCCACGCCCAGCGCCGCACAGAGAGGCATAAGACCCTGACCCATCCTAAGCCTCTCAGAGTCTTACTGACAAATGAGACATGTGTGGAAAGAACCATAAATTCACAGCAAAGCCTGGAAGGTTTCACGTGTTCCTGGACATATAGAAGTGTTCCTGTATAAAGAAGGGCCCGGTGGGATGGGAGATATTCACCATGGGATCACCAGATACATATGCCACCCATCTACATTTTGGGGACACGGGATGGACAACTATACCCACCTGCACCCCTGATTTCCCTATCAAAGGAAGCTTCAAGCTAAAGAAAAGGTAAAAAAAAGAAAGAGTTCGGGGGCTAGTGCCCACCAGATTTCAAGGAGGGGGCAAACTGGAGATGGGTTTTGAAGGATGTGTAGGAGTTTACCAATGGGAGAAAGGAAAGGAAAGGCATCTCAGCCAGAGAGAACTGTAAGTGGGGAGGTCCAGAGGTATCACATGGCATGGTGCGTGTGAGACTAGAGCACAGAGGTCTTAAAGAACAGGCCAAGGAGCTCACAACCTGCCCCTAAGGCTATGGGAGACAGGATCTGGGTCCAGGGTATCTGGAGACCTGTCCTTGACTCTTTGCTCAGCCCTGGGGAGCCCCATGATTCTGTCCAACCCCTTCACCACATCCTTCAATCTGGCCTTCCACAGCACCCCCAATAGAGACCTCTCTGTGTCCAGCTCCTATCTGTCCCCTGGGGTCAGCAGCTCCCCCACGATGAGTCCTGGTGGGGGGAGGTGGTCAAGAGCTCTCAGTAGGGTCAAGGGGTTGAAGGCTGGCAGGAGAAACCAGCTACACAAGAGACAAAGGAACAGAGGAATGGCTTGGCAAGAACATCTGGGAAGATGATCTGAGGGTCTTAGTAGCCCCACAGCTTGATACAAATCAGCTCCTTTGTGCTTCCCTGTGCTGTCTTTGAAGAATTAAAGAGGAAGGTCTGTGAATTTGTCTCAAGGACAAGAAAGATGGGCACAGAGAGCAGGTAGTTGGTCCTGCCCGGCATCTGGAAGTGGGTGCCTCAGGGGGAGAGGAAGGGAGGCCGGATTGTGTCCCCCTTCTGCCAGATCCCGTGCGGCACCTGGGAGCTGAAGTCATGCTGCTGCAGCTGGCGGCCCTCCCGCAGGTCCCAGCAGCGCACGGTGTTGTCCAGGCCCCCTGTCCAGAGCCGAGTGCCGTAATCAGAAATGTCGATGCAGCTGGCCCCATCCGTGTGGCCCTGGAATTGCCTGGAGGAAGGAGGGCCCAGGTGTCCATCCTGGAGGAGGTGCTGTTCCAGCATCCTCCCAGGCCGCTCCCACAGCACAAAGGGGAGATGGCAGGGGCTTGCCCGAGGTCACAGGGCACCGGCCACCCACCTGACCATGGTCTGGTTCTGCAGGTCCCAGACCACGATGTTGCCGTCGCTGCAGCAGGAAAAGCAGACCTTGGCGTCGGGGCTGACGGCCAGGGCGTAGCAGGCGGGCGCCGAGGAGGTCAGCTCCGCCTTGATGCGAGGGGTGGGGGCCGCCAGGTCCCAGATGGACAAGGTGCTGGCCTCACCACCCACTATCAGACTCCGGCCGTCTGGCAGCAGCTTGCAGGAACGAATGTAGTTGTCCCGGTTCTGGGAGGGGAGAGAAGCAAGGGCGTGGGATAGCACCCTTAGCCATGCCTGCCAGAGCCCAGCTGAAAAAACCACCCCAGTAGGCCTGTAAGCTCTGTCCCTGGTTGGCCTATAAGCGATACCCTACTGGCGTTAATCTCCAATCCTGTTGGACTGTAAGTTCCACCCTCATTGGCCTATAAATCCTGCCCCTGGTTGGCCCATAAGCTCCACCCCACTGGCCCATAAGCCCCAACCCTGTTGGGCTATAATCTCCACCTGTGGGTGCCCTAAGAGCTCTGCCCCAAACTGGCCAACAAGCCCCACCCTGGTTGGCCTATAAACTCCACCCATTGGCCTATAGCCCCACCCCTAGGTGGCCTGTAAGGTCCACCCGGTCGGCCTATAAGCCCCGCCCCGCTGGCCTGCAAGCTCCGCCCCACCCTCACCAGGCAGTCCAGCTGAGCTACTGGCGTCTTGGCGCCCGGCTGGCCCACGTCCCACACCTTCACACAGCCCTTGCCGCCCGTGTACACATGCTGCGTGGTGCCGCTGATGGTGACCGCGCAGACCACCTCGCCGTGCGCCAGCGTGTGCAGCTGCCGCGCGTGCCGCGGGATGCCGGCGCCCACCAGCGCGTCAGAAGGGAAGGGCACCGGCTGCATCTGCCCGTCCGCAGACACATGGAAGGAGTACGCCCTGGACGGGAGGTGGGGCATGACGCACGGGGAGCCGGGACCCTCCCCACCCTCACCCCCCTGCCTGTGCCCCCATGCGTTTAGGGACGGGGCCCCAGGATCAAAGGTCAGCGTGATACTGAAGAGGAAGGGGTCCGGCCGTGGCCTGGTGCATGGTTAGCAAGCACTTAGTGAATCTCCGTGGAACAGCGGATCCAGGAAGATGCCCTGTGAGCTCCAGAGAAGGCAGTCCAATGGCAGCCACCAGCCACAGGGCCAGTTAAATTGAAAGAAATTTAAAATTTCAGTTCCTCAGTCGCAGTGACCACATTTCAAGTGCTCAAAAGCCACAGATAGCTGATGGCCATCAGATTGGACAGCTGTAAGTGTAGAACATTCCCGTCACGGCAGAAAGTTTTACTGATCTTGGGGCCGGGTCATTCTCTGGGATGGGGCAGTCCTGTGCATCGTAGTGTGTTGAGTATTATCCCTGGCCCCCCACCCACTAGAGGCTAGAAGCACTTGGGTGTGACAACCAAAAATATCAACAGACATCACTAAATGTCCTGAGGTTGGTAGGGGAGGGCAGTAAGGAAGCACAAAATCCACCCCCTGCTGAGAACCACTAGTGTAGGCTTTGCTTGTTACATAACCCTCTCTCCAGAGCGCAACTCCGGGAGCCACGATTATCTTACAGAAGAGACTTTCTGGAAAGGCAGCAGGGAAGCCCAACACCCACCCCACAATGTAAGCACCTGAGGAGGCAGGGAGCCCCACCCTGCTACTCACGGCTTTCCCCCGGGGATGGAGGGCAGGGAGGAAGAGATGGACGACCCTCGGAGATGTGGATGAGACTCAAATGCCATCTGCCAAAACGCCAACGGGGGTGTCATGGGCGGATGACTCAAACCCACAACTGCCCTCTCCCGTGCTCACTTGCCATATTCCTCTCTGTTTATCAGAGAACACATCCCCCAATTTGTTTATCAGCCCCTCCCCAAGAAAGGGGAGATGCCCTTTCCTTTACCCATCCTACAGATGGGAAAGTGGAGGCTTTCACATGAGGGAACCCCAAGGTCTCTGGCTGGCGAATCCTACGGCCCCAGAGGTGGAAGGATCCTGATGAATCTTCTGTCCAATGCACAGAACAGGGGTCAGCAAACTCCAGCCCCCTGCTTGTTTTCATAAATAAAGTTTTATTGGCACACAGCCATTCCTGTATATGTTGTCTATGGTGGCTTTTGAGCTATGAAGGCAGAGTTGAGTAGTTGTGATAGGGATCAACTGGTCTGCAAGGCCAAAAGTACTTACCATCTGGCCCTTTACAGAAAACACTGCTGACCTCTGTTCTACAACACCCCTTGCAAGTGCCCACCCAGCCTCAGGCCTTGAATAACTCCAATGACAGGCATTTTCTTCCCTCTGGAGGCATCTACACCCACTGCAGGATGGCTCACTCTAGCAAGCATCTGTCCCAGTACTGCCCTCTGGGGCCCACGCACCAGCTCAGGAGTCTCATGCCTCTCCTTCAACTCTTTTCCATGGTACATCACTTCCAGTCCTCTCCCTGGGGTAGTCCTTCCTCTACAATCTACCAGAATCACCAACGTCCCTTAAAAATCAGGGCAAACAACTGTACACCAGGCTGAAGCACACCCTCACATCCCATGGCTGAGGTTCTCTGGTTCTCTTAACGCAACATAATCACAGTTGTTTCTTCCACAGTCACAGGTGCTTATCTGCATTAAGCTTGTGGGGCTACTGAGACCCTCAGATCATCTTCCCACATGCACTTGCCAGGCCAGGACTTTCCTCCCTTTCCCAATTCCCTGGTCTCTGGGTGTGTACCTGGTTTCTCCTCCCAGCCCCCAGCCCCTGGGCCCTGCTCACACCTCCTGGCATCTCCCACCCTGACGACTCACCATGGGGGAGCGTCCATACATCACAGAGCCGCTGACCTGGGGGGACAGGTGGAGGCTGACGTAGGAGCTGGGCACAGAGAGGTCCCCATTAAGGGCGCTGTGGGAGCCCAGGCTGAAGGATGTGGTGAAGGGACTGGACAGGGTCAGGGGACTCCTCAGGGCTGAGAGAGAAGAGACAAAGACAGATCTTCAGACACGTTGGATCCAGATCCTGCCTTCCACTGCCTTGGGGGAGCTCCAGGGCTCTCATGCTCTGGCCCAGCATCCACCATACCCTGTCCTATCTCCAGACATTTACAGCTGCTGTTGCCTCTGGCCAACAAGCCTTTCCTTTTCCTTTCTGAGTTATTGAATTCTTACTCATCCTTCAAAACCCAGACTCAATGTCCAGCAACGTCTCAGGAACATCCTTGAGCCTCCCCACTCCACCCCTTGCCTCCAACCTGGCCCATCTTGGGTCCCTTCCTCCACCCCAGCCCTGATCACACAGAGCTGGGAATTTTGGGGTCTGGGTCTCCTCCCCCACCACCTGGGAGCTCCCTGAAGGCAAGTTCCAGGGCTAGTTTCTTTTTGGGACTCCAGAACCAGCCAGAGCCCGGCCATAAGACAGAAAAGAGGAGCACTGTCATCCCCATATTAATGATGGGGAAAGTGAGGCTCAGAGAGGTTGATCACTTGCCCGAGGTCACACAGCTGGTGAGTGTCCAAAGCTGGCCTGAAACCCAAGCCTGTCTAACTCCAAAGCTTGTCTCTCCAGCACTGGGCTGAAGCCCCAGAGCAAGTCACTTCCTCTCTCTGGGCCTCAGTTTCCCTTGTCTGGGCCAAGACAATGAAGAAACGGAGGCCCAGAGTGAGGCAGTGTCTATTCTGAGTCATGGAAAGGGCAAGGCAATGCCCCAGCTGGAATCCACACGTCCTGCCTCCCCCACCCCACCCTTGTTTCGAACTCCCCGGAAAGGAGGCCTGTCCTGGCAGGCACCAGCAGGTGCTCACCAATACTGTCCGTGGAAGGTGCTGGCTTGGCCGCGAGCTGGCGGAGGTGACTGGCGGAGCTGGGCCCAGGGGTGGACGCGTCCTGGGGCGGGGAGGAGTCTGAGGACTTGGAGGCAGGGGTGCCAGCAGGAAGATCGTTCTGGGGGAGAGAGGGCAGCACTGAACACCCCCAGGCACCTGGTGCCTTGCAGCCCAAGGATCTGGGCAGAAGGTGAGTTGGAGGAGGGAGTACACCTGGAGCAGGCCAGGGCTCATGCAGGGACACACACACCAGGGGAGCGGGCCCCACAGCCGACCTCCTGAGCATGGGGCCCGCTCCCCTGGTGTGTGTCCCTGCACGCATCGGAACACCAGGCGGGCGTCTGAGCATCCACCCCACGGGGTGCACACACGCGCGTGCCCACGGGAACCCGGGCAATCTTGGGAGAACTGCGCATGCGGGTGATAAGGTACACAGGGCAACCACAGGGTAAGGGATGCGGTGAACATTCCTACATCTGGGGCATGGTGGGCGCACAGGGATCACGAGAGAAGGCGACGCACAAAGTTAGAGGCTGGCGCATCCTTCAGGGCCGAGGAACAAACCCTAGGATGGGCTCTCGAAGTAGGAGACCACAGTATGCTCCCAGATGCAAGACCCTCACCCGGTACTGCTGGGCACCCCCTTGCTCCCCACGAGGAGCTCCCCCACTGCTGTCCGTCCCCGTGGGGACCCTGGAGGAGAGGGGAAGCCGGACCTCCTTCACGGAGGAACAAGCTCTGTCTCGGCTTCCTGCCATCGCTTCCTTTGCCTTTCAAGAAACTTCACATCCTCGTCTTGTGTGGGCTGCACCCTATCCTTCCTTTACAAGGTCACACATTTTGTGACAGCCACACTCACACACCCACGACAGGGAGTGGATGGTGCCAACGTGGGGACCAGGGGGGCCTTCTCCATTAGAACAGCGCCGCCCCTCCCCCTCTTTGTCTCCTTGGAGTGGGAGGAGGGCACAAGAGATGCGATGGGAGCCCCAACCTTGGCGGTTGCCATAGCAACCTGCTGGGAGGGGAGGCCTAGAAACCGACACAGTCTCCCTGGTAAGGGCAGGGCAGGGGTCTGGGGAAGATTTGGGGGCAGGGACAAAAGGAGCTGAATTGAGAATGCCTGGGGGAGTGCTTTCAGGTGGTCCTTACGGCTGGCATTAAACATCGGGAGGCCCAAGGAGAGAGCTGTTCTGATATGGGTCATCTTTTCTTGCAGGGACCACATCTCAGGTTGGGGCTGGTGTGTTCCCAAGGCCTTAACACTCCCAGGGCTGGAATCAGCCTGGCCAAGCCAGCAATTCTATAGTTTCACTGTGTTTATTTTCACCAGATTTCCTATTTATTGCAAGAGATACTTGGTTTCCACATAAGATGGTGAGCTGCCTTTTAATATTATTTACAAAGTTGCCTTTTCAGATGTACTGAGGTTCCGCAGAGTGAGTCCACTTAGGAAAAATTACTGGACTAATGTAGAGGTGTTTTTTAGGAAGGCAGCAAAATAATCACTAAGGAAATCCTGGACCACAACAGCCTGTTTCATTTCTCATCACTCCACATCTAATGTGGTAGAATCTGTTTCCAGGTCCCCAGGATGAATAAAATGAGTTTCAACGCTTCCCCTACTCCTTACCAAGACGAGCTCCTTGGTTCTGGGGAGCGGTGAGCCAAGGCTGGAGGCCAAGGAGGCTGGACTGTCCACCAGGTCCCGACGGGCAGGGATGCAGATGGGTGCCTTTCCACATGGGGTGGTTGCTGGGCTGGGGGGCTCGGAGGGTTGGTCCTGGGTTGGAGGAGGTGATGATGAGTGGGGGGGGGCGGGGTAAAGTGGCAGGGGAAGGAGAGGCCCTCTCTATACCCTGCTCGTGTCCTACCCCAACCTCTAGACTGGGCACCTAGGACCCACCTTGGGAGGATTATGAAACCTCCCTGAGCCTCAGTGGACTCATCCGTAAAATGGGTTAAATGACATAAGCACACATAGCAAGGACTATATATAGGCTTGGTTTTGTTTTCCCTCATTGAACAGATGGGGAAAAGTGAGGCCGGGGAAGGGGGTGTCACTCTCCCAAAGTGACACGGTGAGCCAGGGCTTGAAGCCGCTTCCGTTGCCCACATCCAGGGTTCTCTGGGTCTCAGTTTCCCCACCTGTGCTATGGAGAGGAGGTCAGCCTGGGGTGCCCCAGTTTCTCCTACTTCCCCTGGCCCCGTGCCATCCCCATCCCAGCCATCCCATAGAGAGGGGAACACCAGGACACCCACTCCCTCTGGGTCCCCCAAATCCCCGGATAACCCACTGCCTGCTCTGTGCCCAGACCTCCTAGTCCTGAGGTCAGAGTGGGAGGAGGCTGGACCCCGACTCACCTCGTCCACCACCAGGTTGTAATCGCTCTTGTCCTCATCACTCTCCTGGGGGGACAGGGGGGAGAGAGCTCACCCTGGCCATGCTCCTGCCTCCACGCCCCTTACATCTCTTCAGGAGGGTTTGACTGGGATTCTGTGGTTTGGTTCATTTGCTCAAGTACAAGGGAGGCCGGGGAGAGGGGGGAATCCTTCAATGGAGGAGATGGAGCTGAGTACCCAGGAGGTGCTGTGTGGCCTCACTTTACTCCTCTGTGCAGTGGGGGAAGAGCCAGAGACCAGGAGGCATCCTTACCTCCTTCCCAGCTCTTGACCCACAGGGGCAATCAATCTCTCAGGCTGGTCCGCCTCCCACACTGTCTGCCCACCCCAGTCCATGTGTGCCCCCCACTCACATAAGGTCCCGACAGATCCTTCTCCTCCGCTCTCTGCTTCCCATTGCCACCCGGGCCGCTGGGTCGCTCCTCTTCCGCCACACTCTCTGGGGGTGAGGGGGATGCACTCTGCAGAGACACAGGGCCCCAGACTGCGTCCTGGTCCAGCCAAAACCAAGGATCCCCATCACTGTTATTAGGATCTGTGCCTCAAGCTTCCCATCTGGGAAAAGGGACCTTCCGAGGGCAGACTCAGTGGGGTCATGACAACCACAAATGTCCCCAGACATCGCCCAGGGTCCCCTGGGGGGGGCACTAATGTGAACTGAGATGAGCTCTAAGTGCAAAATGCATTCGGATCTTGGAGGCATAATACAATAAAAAGAACGGAAAAGATCCCATTAAAACTGTTTTATGTTGGGAGTTTGGGTTTTGTGGGGGGCATGAGCCAACCTTGCAGGTCTCCTTGCATGACCCTGCAATAAACCTTTCTCTGCTCCAAAAAAAAAACCCAAAAAACAAAAAAACAGACTGTTTTATGTTGATTACAGGTTGAAATATTTTAGATGCATTGTGTTAAATAAAATTTACTATTGAAATTCATTTCACCTCATTAACTTTTTTTTTTTTTTTTTTTTT